AATTTCCCTTGGAATAACTTACAGATCTATGGATCTACAGCTACATTTATAGAGCAGTGGTTATTATGGAAGTGTTTAATGACTTCGGTGAAGTTAAGGCTAATTTATTATACTAAAACAAGTTACAAAATTCCTTGTTATATCGGTGAAAATTTCCCTTGGATTAATTCTAACTTACAGATCCATAGATCTACATCTACGTTTATAGAGCAGTGGTTCTGTTATTATGGAAATGTGTAATGACTTCGGTGAAGTTGAGGCTAATTTATTATACCAAAACAAGTTACAAAATTCCTTGTTATATCGGTGAAAATTTCCCTTGGATTAAATCTTACTTACAGATTCATAGATCTACATCTACGTTTATAGAGCAGTGGTTCTGTTATTATGGAAATGTTTAATGAATTCAGTGAAGTTAATGCAAATTTATATACTTACTACAAGGGTCACAATTTATATACGTATTAAGCAAAAGTGAAAGAGACAGTAAATTTTGTATAGAGTGTACGAGTTATTTAGAAAGTGCGTAGACAATAATGACCGGTTAGGAGGCTTGCAGCGTTTTCCCAGTAGCAATGATTTCACACGGTTGTCCGTGAACGCAACCGTTAGCAACAGTTCGAGACAGTGGCAAACAGCCGAGGTTGCTTCTTCTATCGTGTCGTGAAGGTCGGGACAAGAGGTTCACTGGGTGGTTTTGCGGTTAAATCTGCTGGGAGCCATTCGACTCGCCACAGTGTACGCTGCAGGGGAACCGAACACGCTTGCATGTATACGAAGACGAAAAGGACGACGACTTCTGGGGCTAGTTCCACGAACATAAGTCGCCGTGATGTTTTTGCTCGTTTTGCAGCAGCTAGGTGCCGCCACGGCCATAAGATCCCATGGATCTGACGTAAGATGGATATCGTATTCCCTATAATGCATAGCCGGCCGTATCGTGAATTCCGTGAAGAAGAAGCGTCTTGCGCCTCCGCCAGAGCTCTCTCGTGCACGAACTGTCTTTTGCATAGGTTATCGTGAAAGACCCAGGATACGGCCAGTCTCTTACCGGCATTCTTTTCGCCCTGTCCGTGAAGGCGGTTTCGCTGCCACATCATGCTTACCTTTTCTTGCGTTTCTTCGGCGCGAACACGTGCTTCTGTAAACACCGCGTCCAATCCGCCGTCAGGAATTTCAACCCATCCACGGATTTAATTAACACTTCGATACTTTATTGAGAGGTGAAATCTGTGCATCGCTGAAGGAAACATGTTTTTGCATCGAGATTGCTATGTTTTTTACTGTTGTTGAGAATTTGCGGAATTATTTCTTTCGATGGTCCTTGAAATGCTTTGCAAACTTTGCGAAGTTAAGTCAGACAGTTTTGTCACCTAGACTTATTTCACTGTACTGTTGCCTGAACTTCAATTCTGGACTTCAATATTAACTGGTACTTTCAGATGAGTCTTTTAAGATTCAACAATTTAGTTATTTTTTTGGCGCAATTATATTTTACTAATTTTCAATCTGTAGCAATTGTAGATAAACCATAAAATATGTATGATATATAAAAACAACAGGTAATATCCACATATGTGAGCATCGGTTACGTCCACATATGTATATAAAAATAACAGGTAATATCCACATATGTGAGCATCGGTTACGTCCACATATGTATATAAAAACAGCAGGTAATATCCACATATGTGAGCATCGATTACGTCCACATATGTATCCCCATATCCTTCCAAACGTTAAAGCCCGCGTTATAACCTCCTCTCATCTTTAATTCATCGATCCTTCCAATATCCTTAATGGAACAGTAAAATTACCAAGTTCGATATACACTAATTTGTATACTCGGAACGAAACAATATTAACAATGTACATATTTGATATTATTAGCGAATAACGAAGATCCGAAGGAAATTCTTGGCCGTTTTTCGGTTGACTTCATGATGGATCGAGTAAAGAAGTTTCGTGGAAGGCAAACTCGATGGTGGTCGACCATCCTGGCCGTGCAGCTGATGCTTCCATCTGCCGCTATCTTATTGCCCTCCCGCGCTTATTCGCCCGGGCATTTGTTCCTACTTTGTCGGCACGGTTGTTACGGCACGAAAGGTGTTCGATGTACACCTCGATCGGAGCATTGTTCGGTTTGTAGTCACGCAACCTCGGGTGCTTCTGATTCTGCTTCACTTTCAACTGTTCTCAACTGGATATTCTCAAACTTCTTTACTAAACAAATATGAAAAAAATATATGGACATTTGTTATAGACTTCTGTTTGCTCGTTGATGAACAAATTATATCTGTAGAAATATGTTCGTACTCAATTAAAAATTTTAATGACTGTCCAATTTAAGGGTGCACCATATGATACATACAAATGATACATACTATGTGCATTGAACATAAAAACTAAAAGCTGTTAAAAAATGTAGTGCACCCCTCGACTTCTTTACTAATCAAACATAAAAAAATATATGGACATTTGTTGTAGATATCTGTTTGTTCGTTAACAAGCAAATTTATAGAAATATATTTGTACACAATTAAAAATTTTAATCACTGTCCAATTTAAGAGTGCACCAATCGATACGTGCATTAAACATAATAACTAAAAGCTGTCAAAAAATGTAGCACACCCCTCGACTTCTTTACTAATCAAACATAAAAAAATATATGGACATTTATTGTAGATATCTGTTTGTTCGTTAACAAGAAAATTTATAGAAATATATTTGTACCCAATTAAAACTCACTGTCCAATTTAAGGGTACAAACAATACGTGCATTAAACATAAATAAAAGCTGTTAAAAAATGGAGCGCACCCCTCAAGGTCCTCGAAGGTCCTCATGAACGCAGACAAAAGCTAGCTCGTAAATTTGTAATAAATGCCAGAGAAACAAAAGCTTGGAGAAACAACAAAAGACACGTGTCTGAAATTTTAATAACGTGTCTCGTGGAGCGTTCGAAGCGTGTGTGTCGCAACAATAAAATAACAATTTCCTCGTGTACGCCGGTCGAAGAGCAACCCCTTAATCACGTTAACGACGTGCCGGATAGGGGCCTGTTTAAACGCCATATCCGATATTACGTTGAACGGGCAACGTTCTCACGCGCGTTTTTCTTTCTCCTCGTTTTCTTATTTTCCTTGAGGGTTCTCAAGCGATGGGTGTGCCTGCGTCAACAAACCGCCATAGACCTTCGAGCACCGGTGAAAAATTCATGCGGAACGTGTGCGAATCGACGCACGTGTCCGAAAATTCGGTTGATCGATGACGCGTACCGAAACGGCGTCGACAGGAAATTAATCGACTGCATAGGTAGCTTTGGTAGTTTTATTTTCGACGGTGTATCCCGGCGAATTTCTGTTTTAAATTCTGGCTGTTAATTCTCCCTTGTAATTCCCATTTACACGATACACCGTCGACGAACTAAATTATTCGAGTATTTTTACTCGCTAGACTGTTTATTTTTTTTCGTTGTATTTTATTTGAAATTTGTACGATGAAACCCAGCCAACCGAACGTGTTCGAACGAAGCCACGATTAAACGAATTATAAAGCACCGTACCCACTCGCCGGAGAATTGGGCGGAGGAAGCAATTACGCGGTAAATTACGACAATTCTGTTTCCGCAAACAACGCGAGGGAACGCGTTATCATTGGCGCGGCCAATTTTTCCCGTGCAGCAGAAATCGTTTTAGGTGTGAAATTTAATGAAACGGCTGGTCACTTTCGATGAAAGAAGCAATTATCGTTTTATAGCTATAGTGTTCAATGTATCGTAACGTTTATCCTTTGAAACGCAATTTTTTATTAGCGTTTTCAAATAACCGTAGTTCACACCCTCTAGTTAGGAATAATAGTTGCACGAAAATAATTAAGACCACTGGAAAGTCGGTCGTACAAACGACTGGATATTGAAATTATTGGATAATGTAGCTTGTAACTATCATTCAGTCGAGTTCCACTTACCCCATAACTCACGAACTCTGTCTTTACACGCTCATTGAGAATCAGGCCTGATAACGGGATCGTAGAATGCGGTTTAATTAAAGGAATTACGAGATCGTTCGCACCGTGTCGTGGCAAATTGGTCGCGGACGATCTCGAGATAAGTCACGGTAATTTTTCGACGTGTTTCGCAAACGAAACGACGGAATCGTTGCACCGGTTTGACCCACATGGACAGCTTCATTCGCGGATGGCTCGCATCCTTTTCCGCCAATCGTCGCTCGTTGAGTTGCAAATGAAACGAGCGTGGCTGACTCGGTAAATTTAGCACGCGATCGAACGACGCGTGTTAAACTGGTTGCAAGACTTTATTAAATTACCATCTGGCCAGACGAGGAATGAGTTACGGCTAATGAAATCGTCGGGACGATTAATAATTATGAGCAAACCGCGACACCGGATCGACCTGTGTTTACTTTATTAATGAGTCTTATTAGAAGAATCGTGTTGGATTATTTTCCTCCCTGAGATTGCTGTTTCTGGACACGTGTTATTCAGCAGAGGTTCCCAAACGAACTTCTACCAGAAACTGTTTCTGGACTTTCAACTATTCTGCAAATCCTCAACTCGTTGCATAAACCGTAATTTCGCTTGAACAATTTATTAACGTTCCCGCTTATCAACGTTCTCCAAGATCCGAAATCGGTGTCTCTTAACCCCTTGCACTATTTTGACGAGTTAGACTCGTGACGCACTTTTATGCCGTGATCAATTTTACTCAAATTTTAATACGCTCCAATTTGGAGTTCAAGTCCAATTATAATTTGCATAGTCAACGATTGAATAATAACATATTGACATAACATTTCAATTTTTTTCGTCTGTTTTAATATTGTAGCTATAATTAGTCAGTTCTGACTGACGCACCTGCAAGGGGTTAAAAATGTTACAGAATTACAATCACTTGTGATCAATAATTTCGATCATGTACCAGTTTGAAAACACTTGGGTCTAATCTCTTCGAGATGAATTCGATGTGGTCGACTTAATCCGTCATCTTCTGCTCTCCAACACGAACACCTGACTGTTTCTAGTTTTCTCGGCATCTTCCCTCCGACGTTTGATCCTGGACGCCAGAAGGGGAGTGAACAAATTGGGATCAGGTTCGCGAGAGTCCCTGTGACATATCCTCCGCGCGACCAGGCTGGTCAGGTAGCCGACGATCAACGTGATGCCTAATCCCATGGGACTGTACCACATGTAGGAAATACGATACAGGTAGAAGTAGGAGGAGTTTTCCGGTGGCGCTTCCGTGCTGCTGCGAATCAAATTTAATTCGTTAGTTCGAATAATTTTAGAAAGTTTCTGTTGAGGTAAATGGTATCTTCGCGACGCAAGGGCGAGACTCAGGCAAAAATCAAACTGCGAAACTCATTATCAAAAAGAAACTTGTATTGTACTTATGCACGCATCACGCTCGCGTGATAATGATGACTGAAGAGAGGCGTTAGAGAAAACAAAAGATTAAAAGAAGAACGCAACATGGATGATTGAAGCGTGAAAAACAAATAGCCTCAACATTTTCAATCTCAAAATTTCAGTTCATTCAGATGAGCTGTCATTCAGGTCATTCAGATAATTCGTGAAATATCAAGTTAAATTTGAAAATTTCTTAAAGGTTGTAAATAACTTTGGAAGTATTTTTGTGAAGAAACGGTGTCGAAAAAATTGCGAGTTTATCTTCCGTTAATGATCAAACAGGTTTAGCGCGTGGCAGGAGATAAGAGGTTCCTAAACGGAAGGTGGAAAACACCTTGTTGGTAGTTTATCGAAGAGAAAGCAACACTGTACGTAATGTCGGAACGCGGCAAGAACTTGAAGAGGTCGTAATCACGGTTTATTAACGGGCAATTAGCTTCAGTTACTATCGTGGGAAACGATGAACATCGAGTCGATTGGTTATGAGAAAGCGACGAGCGAAAAGAAATCGGGAAGTAATCGCGGCTTTTTCATCCGATTATTGCTACCACGAGATACCTCCACGCCCATGTTATCGCGACTCAGCTCATTAAAATCAACGATAACGCGTATCCTAGAACGATTAGTTTTAATTAATCTATCTAGCTGCCTGCGGGATCTTCCGTTTCTAATAAATTCGTCGTATTTTTGCTCGGCATTATTAGATATCAAAAGTAGTTTCGCACGCTCACAATCTGTCGACCTCTGGCTCGCTTTACCAACTTTTTGCGGCAATAGCTAAATCGACTGGCAACACGTGTGTCTACGATTTCCTTATTGGAAAGGAAATCGCGCTCGAACGGTCTATGAGCGTGAATGGTTATAAAAATGATCGCGGGGAAGCCTTTTATACCGAGTGATTCCGGAAACTGGGTCGTGCCACAGTTCGTTTCTGAACACAGAGAAAGCTGGGAGAAGAAGTTGAATCGAGTGGTAAATCACCGATTCTGTTAGAATGGACAATTTTAAATGCAAGAATAAATCGGATACAACTAATTAACCTTTCTGAAATATCCTTCCTTAATAAACAAAAAAATGTATTTCTTCAGAATGGATTCAAATCATGCAGTTTCAAAATACAATTACTGACCCAGATGTACCCTGAATACCATTTATGCCGAGATGACAAATGAAAGCAGAAAAATCTCACAGAATCTCATATTCTCGGAACAGTTTAAAAAGCCGTTCACTTAGAAAACGTTCATTTATCTACTTCCAAAGTATACTTAAGATACGTTGCCAAAGTAGCCCATAATTATACCCCGAAGTACCGCTGCCAGGACATATTAAAGCGACCGCAACAAGTTCACTTTCTTAACAAGCAAAAAAAGACTTACCCGCTAAATTGCGTGGCGTTTCGATAACTAAGGAACATGGTGGAGTTCTCGCAGCCATCAACGGACAACGGAAGTATGGGTACGGGCGGTTTAGGTTGGCCAAAGGCTGTCCAGAGGGATATGACCAGAGCCGAGAGCGTTCCGACGACCGCACCGGTCTCGTTCGCGTACTCCGCGAACATTCCCAGCGTGAAAATTCCGAGAATAGGTCCGTTAATGGCCCCGGAGATTCCTATTGTCACCTCGACCAGCGAGCCCATCGATCTGGCCAAGAAGGCCACGGCCACGCAAACGAAACCGATCACTACAGCCAACAGTTTGCCGATCGTGGTTGCTCGTTCGTCCGGAAAGTGCACGTTGAATTTGTGACACAAAGGTTTCAAGTAGTCCTCCAATATCACCGCGGCCAAAGAATTCAATGTGGCGGAAATTGTACTGAGGCTGGCGCTGAAGATCCCAGAGATGAAGAGCCCCGTGACGCCTGGAATACGCGACATTCGTTCGGCCGCGAAGAACGGCATTATTTTGTCGAAGCTGGAAATCTTGCCGGATGTGATGGGATCGCAGTCCTTGTAGATCATGTACAGGGCCAAACCCGCGAAGCTTGTAAGCAGTCCCAGTGATACGGTAATGGGTCCACTTAGCAATAACGCGTTCTGCGAAACCTTGTAGCTCCTGCGTGTTGTCGGGATATCAGATTATTGCGTCAAGTTGTTGGGTATCGTATGACCGGACTGAAATACTGGGAGTCCAGCTTGATTTTAATCGCGCAAAAGTCTAGCAAAATACCGCTTATGGTGTATCAAAGCTTGATGAAAATGTTTACGTAAACGATACATTTAAACTTTTAAAACTGTTTATCGGGAAAAGGTCGTTCCGTATCAATCAACTAGCCGGTGATGATATAACAGTGTACTCTGATATAACAGTACTGCAAAGTAGCAATTACGGTATATCAATTTGAAGCTATTCATTCATACTTATGTCATCTTATCGTGTTAGTCTTTCTACGCTTCTAAATCGGTTTACTTGATACGCATCAACCTGTCGTCTGAATATCTCCATAAATTATAAATACTCCTTTTTACGATTTCCTACTTAAGTAATTTAATCGAGTCCTTAACTCGAATTTTAAAACCTGATCCCAACATGTCGTTTAAGCGTATCAAACCATCCCCGTAATCGATCATTAACCAGTTTAACATAATTCGACATATCCTCCGGGGTAATGCGCGTAATCATATTAAGTACACGCACCTGGCAGTGAGCAAACGTTGCACCTGAACCTGATTCACGGCGTACATGGACAGGAAGATGGTGGTGCTGCCAAACAGCAGGGCCCAAAAACTGTGTCGTACCGTCGGATCGATTCTGAAACTAGAAAGGAATTTTGGACGTGCAGCTTGTACAAATACGGTGGATGTTCTTACTCGGGAATCTGCAATCGTTCACCCTGTTTAGCGATGTTCCATACGCTGGCTAGTCCATCCTCGCGATTCATGGCAGCGACACCTAGGACACATCCGAGGCCACCGTACATCAACAACGCCTGGAAGATGTCGGTGACCAGGACGGCCTTGATCCCACCTATGGTCGAGTAAAAGGTACAAATCACGCCGATCAGCAGGATACTCGTGGTCCCTGACAGACCAGTCGTTGCTTCCAGGGCTAACGAGGGCGCGAATAACACCACGCCGCTGTACAACAACAGCTGCAGGAAGTTGGCTGAGCTGGCCACCAGCCGAGCCTTCATCCCGAATCGCTTCTCTAGATACTAGGAGAAATTTCCATGCTTCTGAGTATATAAACTTTGAACTCCCAAAGTTCATAATTCTGATGTTCTATCCTGAACACGAAGTCTTCAATTTTTCAAATCACCAAGGAGTTAAATTAACAAATTCAAAGTTCCCAAATTTCCAAACGATCAAATGTAAAAATTATAAAATTTGGAGTTCGGGAAGATGAAATATTTGTGAATTATAAATCACGTGGCTAGATGAAAGCATCACAAGTTATAGATCATAGCGGCAATTACCTCGTAGACGCTGACGGCATCGAGCTTGTGGAAAACCGGAAGGTATAGAAATTGGGTGATCGGTGTGCCGAAAACACCACCCATGTAAAGCAGCATGATGTGCGAACCGTGGGCGTAATTTTCTGCGCTGATTCCGAGCAACGTGATCGCCGACATGAAAGACACCGTGAGTGCGATCGCGAGAGGAACGACGCCCATCGATCGGTTCGCCGAGAAGTATTCCTGTCGGTGTTAATCACGGAACGTGTCGGTTAAGAAGGTACTCGCCCGGAAGACGGATCGTTTTAAGGGTCGAATGACTCGAACCTCGAGACACGTGGTCCATAGAACGGCGAAATTAATCGATCGATCTCGGACGAGAATTTTTGTTGGCGCTTCGGACACGATTCTTCCTTGGACGTTCAATCCGACGGAATGAGTAGCAGAAAACGCGTAAACGTTACCGGGGCGCTATTCATACCTTATCGTTGTTATTATATCGTTATCAAGTCGATCCGATCGGATCGTGTGAGTAGACACTTTTCGCGTGGCCCTAACTCGATTCGCAATAACGTCTCGACGTTAATTAACGTTCGACCGGTCAGTCGATCGAGCGCCGGCACGCCGATAAATTAAATAGCGTTCTCGATAGTTGGCAATTTGTGTCGATAGCAATATTTATCGCGCGGCAAGATCGATCGGCCGATAGCGGTGAAAGATCTCCCTCGAACTCGGTTACCGGCTCGTGATCCGAGAACGTGCCAAGCAGGAATCTACGATTTCGAGCACGGTTTATCACCGATATTGCACGTCGCGACGATTCCGTTTCTCGATCAAATTAATTTTCCAAGAGTTTAACCTCGGCCGTGCGTTGTCTACCGCCAGTGAACCTGTAGTAGATCCCGATACCGCTTGAAATTGACAGCATTACGCCGATCACGAGGTAATCCGGCCATTGCAGCGTCGATACCTTATCATCTTTCTGCTCCTGAAAGCAAATTGATTTCTCCATTTTTTTTATGTCGAACGGGGTAAATTGACTGTTCGAGGGCTTAGATCACTTTGGCGAGTTTTCAATTTCTGCAGACGTACTTCTTAGAAATTAATCTCTGATCGAGATCTAACCTCTTTATCTGTAGGATGATTCAAAATGTGATATAAACTTTACCCACATGCTTTACGTCGTTCTAATTTAGTTAAACCCATCACTTCTTAAAACTCTTTCATGCACAAGTTTTTATAATTAGGTCCAACTTTCAAAAAACTATTATTATAATAAAAGATACAAAAATAGAAGATAAAACAGGCACTCTATATTTAAACCTCCATATCTATTTTAACGTTCCAACTGGGATTCCAGAGTATCCCATCAAAGTATATTGAAACAACGAAAAAAATAAAAGGTACAAAAATAGAAGATAACACAGACCTCCATATTTAAACCACCACATCTACTTTAACGTTCCAACTAGGATTGAAAAGTGTCCCATCAAAGTATATTAAAACAACGAAAGATTTTTTAACACTCTGCTTTAAAGAGCCGATCCTATTTCTGCTCAAAGAATCATTGAAACTACAACAGTCGATAGCATACAAGTAGCTCGAACGAAACGTTTCGCACGTAGCAGAATCTCGCGTTCGATCGAACGTTTAAAAGTGAAGTTTAATCAAAGTTTCAAGTTGTTGGATGCTTTTCTCGAGAAGAGAAGCTGTACACGTTCCACGGCTTCTACGGAAAGAGCACTCACGTCCATTCTGCGGGATCCGTTCGTTGCGATAGCATCAACTCGCGATACACGAGAAATTCGATATCGCGAGCTTGTTTGGCCGGGTATCGTGCTTCTTCCTGAATCGTTCTGCGGCGACGAGGAACAGGCTGCCAACGTAACACACGAACGAGAACCCTGGACAGTCGCAGCGTGAACCAATGGCACGATGAAAAGCCACGCGAATACTCGGTGAAAGAACCACCTTCGAGGACTCGCCACCTGCGTGTTTTGTGGCCGAGTGTCTTCGTTTCGAACGACGACTAAAAAATGGCGTCGAACTGCTCGTTTCATTACGTAAACATTGGCTCAGCATCTTTACTGCCCAACGCACGCAAAGGCTCGTCTTTTTTTGTTCAACGTTTGCGAATTTGCGAAGGTTTGGAGATGTTGGAAATTTAAGGAGTTGGATGGTCACATTTTAGGTTAGAAAATTTCGGAAGACATTTAACTTGGGAAATTCTGTATAAGTGTATTTGTGTGTTCATATGTGAATAGATCTTTAGATACACATGTCAAATTCCTATATCTATAGAATTCTATATTCTTGAATTCTTATATCTTAAGATTTCTACCTTGTCGAACTTCTATGTCTGCAAATGTATAACTACTTGAATCTTTACAATCTGATGGCCAAATTCTATTCCAAAATATGTACATAACTAGATCACTTGTTATCCTTGTTATCCTTGAATCTTTAGATCCCCGTCTCCCAAACCACATTTTCAAATCTTCCTAACTTCAAACGCATCCCCAAATTTCCAACTCTCTCAGTATGTCCCCAGCTACTATTCTAAGCACCGTTAACATTTGAAAAGTTAAATAAAACAGGAACCAAAGCGCTCGTCTGGCGTACCTCGAGGATCGTATTTCGAGATCGTGACTGCAGATCTATCCGAAAGAAAATGAAAAACGAATCTTATGATTTAATGACTGTTTAATTATGTAAAGTCGATAAGGCAACCCTTGCGAAAGAACCAGTTCGATTTCCAATGGAGCTGCGGTCTACCGACATGAAGTTAAGCGTCACGAATAATTAATCTCGGAAAGGTTAATGAATTCAGGATAAAGGGAAATTTTCGTCCGGAATTCCTGTCGCGGCCCGGTGACCAAAGAGACGTACGCGAATCCTCTCGATCGACGAGGAAATTGATGTTGTAGGGTCATCGATTTGTACCGTTCCTTTGAAGCCTCTTAATTGGAGAGGCAAACAAATGAAAAGATCAAAGAGGAATTGTTTGGCGAACTATAGAGATCGATCGAGCGTAACGTGCAAGGTTGTACGAAGCACCGGTCAACTTGAACGTTGTTCTACGCCACTGTCATGTCGCTGGTGCATAACAATTATTCGCAAGACGGTAGCTTCTGGCCGTAATGTAATTTCCTAGCGTTACGAGGCACAATCGACGAGGGGCCATCGGCTGTTATTCCGAGAAGGGAAGCACCCATGGAAACGTACGACCTGCGACTAGATTTCATGGCTGCGGGTCTGATGATCTTTATCGGTGCATTATGGCTCGAAATTGATGCGGCGGGTTCTGAATTCAGCTTTCGAATATTTGCATTTTTTAGTTTTCGAACTTTCAAATTTTTTATCTTTAATACTCTCAAGCTGTAATACTCAATTCTTAAGTTCCAGAAAATTTCCAAATTTCTAGATCTTTAAGTTCCAGATCCTCAAATAACTCACATCTCGGACCTCTACATTTGCAGAACCCACATCTGCAAGATCTCTGAATTTCCAAATCTTTGCACCTCCTAATTCTTGTCATTTGTAACCTCACGTATAACCTCACATATTGTGAGGTCTCTACATTACCATGTCATATGTCACATAATCCCACACTCCCAGTTCCCACATCCAAATCTGCAAATAGTGAAATCAAATTCCAAGCTCGTAATTTCTGAACTACCCATCCGCAAAATGAACGAGTTAAGAAAATTTAGAGCTTAATTTTGCAGAAAAAATTGCAATTACCGTCCTAATGGAAGACGAGCGTCTGATTCCGAAGCGTTAAACGGTGATATCTCGTTGCTTCTTCGGCGTTTAATGGGAGTTGATTACCCGACACGATTTGCCAACTCGAATTTATTTCTTCCGACGTAATTGCACGATGCTCCGTGTTCTGGAGGTTAATGGAGAACCCTGTTGAGCGTCGTCCAATTTTCGACATTGTTACTCGAGCGTTGACTGGCTCGTTTTACGCCGATGCTAGTCGCAGACGAAGAAGCGGTGAAAGACGATAGATGAACGGGATGGAAAGAGGAGAAAAGGAGGAGCCCCGTAAGTGGCGAATTCCCGTCATTAAGTCGTTAGTCGAACGCAGGACAGCAGACTTAACTGTCGGTTAACTGGTTACTGAACTTGATCGATGTTTATCGTTTATATTTGCTACTTTCACCCCCGCTTTCTTATTCTTCTCCGAAACAACCAATATCCTCCGATATCCGGTCTTGTAAAAGGAACTTTTTTAATCGCGGTGAAAGTCTATCCAAAGGCGAGCCGACTCGACTGGCGATATAAATGGCGGCAATATAGTCCGAACCGTATCACGGTCGCCTGTCAGAGCGATCATTCGATTCCATTCGTTTGCACCTTTACATGCACCGTGGTAATTCGACCCATCGGGAATATCACGCGTGATAATTCGATGCGTGGTAATTCGACGCGTGGTAATTCGGCGCGTGGTAATTCGACCCGTCAGGAATGCAACGCGTGGTAATTCGATGCGTGGTAATTCGGCGCGTGGTAACTGTCGGTTAACTGGTTACTGAACTTGATCGATGTTTATCGTTTATATTTGCTACTTTCACCCCCGCTTTCTTATTCTTCTCCGAAACAACCAATATCCTCCGATATCCGGTCTTGTAAAAGGAACTTTTTTAATCGCGGTGAAAGTCTATCCAAAGGCGAGCCGACTCGACTGGCGATATAAATGGCGGCAATATAGTCCGAACCGTATCACGGTCGCCTGTCAGAGCGATCATTCGATTCCATTCGTTTGCACCTTTACGAGCGGAGGCGAACATGTCCATCGTTCGGAAAATACATAAATCTTCGAATCGTGAATTCCAAGATTCTGCTCGCAAGAAGAACACCGTGAGTCGCTCTCCAGATTCTCCTGTTGAGATAATCACGATGTCGTGTTCCCAGCCTCGTGGTCTCCCCCTTTTTAGTTAGTTAGACGGAAGAAGGTGAGACACACTCGTAGATTGAAGATCAGACGTGCTTTTGCCTAAAGCACGCGCTGCTCGACGTCGTAAGGAGAAGCTCGTTATTATAGTTGGATACTCGGCGAGTAAGACGTCTTGAAGGGTCTTCTTTAAACTTGCTTACATTCGCACGCACATTTTTCTGGCGGGACACTCGGCCATGCAATCTCGAACGCTCTCGGTTAGTTGCACGCGGCGTTCTAAGAGCAAACAGTTCATTAAACCACGCCTCGTAAGCCACGCTAAGACGTTTGCTCGTACCGAGTTGTTACAGTGGTTTTGCATAAGCTGGGTCGTAAACAATCTTCTGAACGCATTCCAGTACACGACAGAAAACGTTCGGCTTCATTAAAACTTCTGCTACGAACTTTATTGTTCTCTCGAGCATTACTTCAAATATAATCGTCGTTATCGGGAGACACGTAGATCATAAACTTCTATTGTATCTTACGACGTCAAATTTTAAAATTAGCAGACAATACAGGCGAAACGCATAAATTCTTATCGAAATTGTTCACGACGTTATCGTGGGACAACTGTTAGCACCTAATGTTCGAGGCGATTTAATACCATTTTTGCAATTTCGTTTTATGACAGAATATTCTGTATCTCTAGGTAAGTTTAAAATAATCAATTTTTAATACCATGGAAAAGTAATACCATGAAAATTGAAGTAATACCATTGAAACTCGACAAAGTTATAATTATAGTTCAAAGAAGTTCCTTTTGCACCTGTACTCCGTCCGAGATCAACCAAGTAAAAGTTTGTGAAATTCATTATCGTTTGATACAGCAAAAATTTAAATTGCTTACAAAATAAATATTTGACCCAAAATATTCACCTAACATCGACAAGTGTTCCCAGTATCTGACCGTTGAAACGCTCAAGCTAACAACAGTTCCACATACGGTGTGCAGCATATTTTTGCATCGGCAATCTCAAGGCCGCATGCAATCGAACGAACTGTTATCAGCTCGTTTCGAAATTCCGAAAACGGTGTTGTATAATGTCTGAAACGAAATAACTATTGTTGGATCGGCGACGGGTGATGATCAGATAATTGAGTAGGTTGCGTTGCCTCGAGCTGCCGTTAATT